ATAGATAGTTCAAAATTAATATCATTTTGATACAAATCTGTAACTAATCTTATCATATATATAGCAAATTCAAAATATAAAAAAATAAAAAATAAAAAATAAAAAAAAAAGGAAATTCCATTTATATATATATTAATGAACAAACTACAAAGATTTAGACTAATTTATATACAACCTAAACCCACTAGAGTAGTCCATGTCCTATATATGTATTACCTAGCTTTTGACTTCCCAATTAACTATATCTAGTAATTACTATATTTTCTCTATATCTCTCTAACACCAGTTATAACTTCCAATTTAGTACATAGGTATCTCTTCTAATAAGCTTTCAATTTGATATATCTGTAAACACAGTCTACTACAAGTTCACTTATATTTTCTATTAGTACAACTGTAATTAATGCAGGTGGCTTTTATACAGCCCATATCTCAAGCCAGAAACTTGCTGCCTAGTTTTATTATCAAAATTACAAACATTTTTGGACCTTTTTTGTAGTCCTATTTTTTTTTTATAGTTGAGGTTAGAAATTAGGGTTAGTATTTATAATAAAAAGGTATATATGGATTTTAGTAGCTGTTAGAGTTTAAATGAGAACCCCAAATCTCAGCATAAGCCACCACAATTATTGTCGGTGAAATAATAGGAAACCGACAAAATTCCGATATTGCGATATTGTCGAAAAATTCTTAATTAGTAGAATTTACTACATGACCCCGTACTATGTTTGTGTTTAATATGTTATTTCATCCTTATAGTTCTCTCCCGATATTAGATACTTTTCTAATGAAAGAAAAATTTTAAACATCGCTTTAATAAATAATCATTCATCTAAATATTCATTTATTGCTCATCCCGATTTCTAACTGCAGAATCCGATGTACACCATTCCTCTAATTGATCATTATATTCATGATACTTTCTCGACTAAGTTAGCACCGAGTCACACGTACACTACAGGTAACTCAGGTGTTACCTACCAGCTCCAATCATTTATAGTACAAATGCGATACGAAACGTATGCCTACCCCTTGGTAGAAGTCATATTACTTAGATTCTGCCTCTGAAAAACATATACATACGTACGTACGTATATGTAAAAACATGTGATAAACATTTTATTACACAATTTTCCGTATATAAACATTACGAAATTAGATTACAATAGTTACGTATTGTGATGTGTAACGTCTATTGAAATGTCTACTTTTGATAAAAAGCATTACCTCCGGATACGTAATAATCTAATCTATACTTCGATGGAACTACAGGTAATCGGCCGACACATACTCATACGCTATTAGTACGGAAAATTTGTCGGATTATAATAAATCCACATTTTATGGGGTACGTACCTACATGCATACTATTAATACTATTAATAAAATATATTATTAATCAATTGATTTTAGATTAGTATACCTATACTACTAAAAGAGATCGATTTATTTTTAATAGTCGATCAAAAAAGGAAACAACAAAAATCCAAAATCGTTTTTTTTTAAATCAACTTTTAATTCAAATATTTTATTCGTAATAATAAGTATGTAAATATTTATAATTTCGAAACAAAAAAATTATATATTAATCTGTCGAATTATCATACTATAATGCCATCAATTATCAGATGACAAGTACAATACTAATAAATTTATTAGTATTTTTAATTTATAAAGCTACTGAAATTCAGTATAAAACATGCAATACAAGACAATTGGTCATTGCTTATTTACGCGAATAATACAAAGGGAAATAATAAGTAAATTCAAATCAAGATGTCATAAAACTTATTAGTTCCTTTTTGTATTACCCGTAAAAATGACTAACTAATGTTGATTGTTTTATATAGTTATCAACGGAATTACAAGTAAAAATTTTAAAATCCAGGTAAAAGAAAAACTACGAACAATTAAATGTTTTAAACATTATTGTTCGTCATACGAGATTCGCAGTTGTAATTCCGGTACTATATGCCTGTTTTTTTTGTTTATTTACAGTGCATAATTACGTGATTATACTTATGATTTTGTTTTTGTAAATGCAGTGGTATCTAAAGTATCGTAAATTTATAACTTTAAGGTACATTTAACCAACTAGTTGAACAGTTCAGAATTATGGTCAAATTAAACTCAAATTGATATGCTTGATTAGTCATTATTAAAATAAATTGCATACGCATTTAATTATGAGTTTAAACGATTGTTGATTCATCTATTATATCTATTATTCAAATTTTGTTCTTTTATAATCATTCATCAGAAATTAGATAAATAAATAAATAAATAAAGTATTGATTATTTAAAATTTTATGTATTAATAAACTGCTTATATAATATATATACAGTAACTTATACCCGTGAAGTAAATTACAAAACTGCATCTCTGATTGCAAAATCGAAGAAAATCAAATTCGTCATACAATAATACTTATTAGGATGATAATAACTAAGTGATCGAAGTTTTTTTTTAATCACTTAGCTATTCACTTGATTATTAATTAAAACTATGTGATTAGTCATCTATTTCCGAGAATGACAATGATTAGTGACTAAGTCATCTAAGTCACTGTTGTCACCAAAAGTTACTGTCCTATGTAACCTCATAAATTTTATTTGAGTTCGCTTTGTCTTCCTTAAAGAAGCTAACTATAATACTATAATACTCTAATACTATATAAATACTATATAAAATGATAAAATATTGACATCATTTGTTTGGAAAAAGCTGCGGTAGGCGTACGACCAAACTCATATAGTAATTCTCGTAGATATCATTAAGAATCCACGACACGAAAGCCATCACAAGACATAGATTTCTGTCGTGTAACGACATATAACGTACAGTGCGTATAACATACAAAGTATTATGGGCAGATTCTCCGATAAACCATCGATTAATACAATACAGATTAAATATCTTCGGTCATAGTGGATGTTCACATCAACTAGCAGCGTGGTAATGATTCACAAGAGTGTGGAGAAAGTCACTCTCAATAATATAATTGTAGTAAATAGTGATGTGCAGTATTACATACTGCATATACTGTTGATATTAATATTCTAATTTCGAATTCTTCCGTAGTATTCCGCAATATGAATGCTAAAAAATCCAATAACTATTATTACGTCACATCACTACATCACTAGCAGTTATAGGTAACTCAAGTTCTCGCAAGTCAGAACGTAATCCCGATAAATTTAACTTTGCTAACTTAAATATAGAATAATTTAGTCGGAATTATATTTTTTCATGCAATTGGATTTCGGAATAATCACTTTTATAGATGTTCGAGTGCATGATGTTACTTATTTTGAAAATTCATACCATATGATCACGAATTTGGCGTAATGATGATATGCTAATTTCTATATTAGCTAAATTTTTTCTCCGAGATACTTGTTATCTGACGTTTCGGATATGTAAAATTGGTATTTGAGCTTTCTTTTTTTTTTAATGGGCCGTGCGAGCCGGCAATAATTTATGTCTATCATGGTCCCTAGTACAGTATATATAGTATTATATATCAGTATTACGTATAATACTGTACACAACATATCATTACTAAAAAATAAAGTAGAATAAATCATTTAAAAATCAATATATTTGCTATTCTATACGAGTTCGGGTCATATTCAATTGGTGAATGTCGATGAAGTAACCTTCGGCTAAGAAGATCATAAAGTGCTACGTGCAAATGATAAAAAGGGTTTAAACGCGCGATTGATCTATAGTATATCAATTAATTTGTATTCAATAACTAATATATTAATATACTTTACTTTAAAATAATTGCTAATCGTGAAATATTTTCAATATCTTCGGATTTTTATTTATTTAAATTAGGAAACAGGTAAAAAGTTTCGAAACCTATTGTACTATTATATTATTTATACAATTGGATTATTCAATTGATTATAAAAAGATTTCTGTTAAAGTTTAATATTTATCTTATCAGTCTTTCACGTACTTTATTAACTAATATAGTATTAATAACCGTCTTATGATCCCTCACATGATTAATATACTGCATGCTTAGGGGGTTTTATTTACATACAAAAAAACATCAACAGATCATTCGTTCACTTCTAATCCTTTCTTGCCACTATCTCTAGCATGCGGTCTTATCTTAATTCTGATATATGCAAACATAAGATGTATTTTCTTTGTTTAATCTACCATCTTTGAATTAATTATTATGCACATGATCTAGTTATTATATATTTTAAAATATAAATAAATCGTGTCGGTTTGTAATTCTGCTGATTATAAATAAATCGTGTCAATTTTTTTGATTCTACTTAATCTATGAAAAATTCATAGAGACATAAAAAATATGGATGCGGATATACTGCGCCAAATAGAGCTTCAAATAGAAATTCTCGTTGCACATCTTCAAAATCCATTAACTTTCTCTCGTATTATTCAACTCGACATAAATGCGTATGTTCGAAGTAGACGAACCTTACGACAAAAAATTAATATAAAACAAACTACCGGTTACAACTTATTTAAAAAGCAAGCAACTGAAGAAGCTCACTTGATAAACATTACAGATGGAAGAGTTATTGGTATGTCTACCAATATAGTGTGGAGAAGTCTTACACCTGCTCAAATAAATATCTTCGCTACGTACGCAAGACAAATTTGATCTATTATCGGAAATTAATACACCTTTTCATTGGCAAAATCGTTGACAAATAATTGATATATTTATTGGAAAATCATTGCAGCATTAGCAAATATTTGGTATACTTATTGGAAAATCGTTGTTAAATAATAATTAGCAAATCGTTTGACAAATGGCAAATCGTTGGCAAATACTGAAATATATATTTTTATTAGCAAAATCGTTGACAAATCTTTGTCAAGTCTCGAATTTTTTATATAAACTTTCCGTTATCAACTTATATACATTTCTTATTGACAAATCGTTGTTCAAGTCTCGAATTTTTTACATCAACTTTCCGTTATTAACTTATAGACATTCGGTTTTTTTTTTTTTTTACAAAAATAATTTGGCAAATCTGAATATTATAACGTTTTATCTATATAGAGTATAGAATTTATCTATATTGATTATAGAATTTATCTATATTGATTATAGAATTTATTCATATAGAATATAGAATATGCACTAAATTTTATTTATAGAAAGTATAGATAAGATAAATTAAGATAGAAATTATTACAACCAATTAAACTAGTTAATGTAAATAGTTAATTCTCGATGACAATGTCTCCAATCATTATTAGTTTGTTTTAGACAAAAGGCAAAGAGGCAAAATAATTTTTAATAAAATTGTTTGTTATCAAAGATTTTTACCCGACCCACTTAAATTATCGCGAATCAAATATCCGAAAAATGCAAAATATCAGACAACAATAAATATCTATAAACTTAATAATTTATTTATTTTATTTATTTATTGTTTACAGTATTTATGTTCTCAAATCCACGGAGTTTGGTCCGTTATACTGTATTTCTTTTTGTTCAACAACAATCACCAATAAAACAAAAAATGTCAAGTTTAGGTTTAAATTTAAGTATAATATGATTTAATTATTTGATTGTTAAAAGATTTTTATTTGGTAACTTTTTATTTGGTAATTTTAATCTATAATAACTTAAAAAAATCTTGGTTTTTCATCAATGAAAAAAAAAATAACGGCATTAGATTTATGTAATCTGTAATTCATAATTTCTCTGAGTAAGTGATCTATAGAAATCTAGACCCTCTCCTAAATAGAGGCAGGCAAAAAGTTAATCCGTGATTTCATACCTAACAATTTTGAAACATAATAACTAATAAATATTTAGTGAATTAATAATTTTAAAGGATTGGTGCCTATTTTAGCTCGTGTAACATTAAATGATGTATGTACCAGGTAATAATGACAAAACAACAATGAGGATATGCATCGATTAAGACAATATAATGCCGTAAACTTCCGAAAACAAGCGCACCCCTAAACCTCAAGTTTTTTAATAACAGAAGTTGGAGTAATGCTTATTTTCAGAATTATATTCTCTACGCTCGAGGATCTACGTATGAATTTAGAGAATTAACAAGATAAAAAAGTAGATTCCCACGCACAGCCCTGAAAATCTAAGATATTTTTTCTTTCTCCTGGGGACGTACTGTACGTACTTATGTATTTTAGTCAAATATATCGTGTAACAATTATTATTTTTTTTAAAAAACAATACAATTTAATTAACTTATTGTTTTAATTATCGGAAAAATTGGTGCATTATTCCGATTGTAAAACATGTGTTTTTGTGTTACAAAGTGATCTTTTTTGACAATAGTTTGCATGATGATCTAAAATACCGCATGGCTACATGTGTTGAATGGCAAAGGAACTGTTAGCATGTATATATGCGTTGAACGACCAAGGAACGCATTAGATAGATCAGAAAACTAGGGGTGTTAATACTTTTCGTGTGAGTGATACAAATCCAAAAAGGTAATTAATATTAAAAATATCCTGATCTGTTGGGTATTCGCGGAACGAAGTTTCCGCTTGTGGTTTTCCCGACAAGCGAAATCCAGACAGGTCATAATCCCGACAGTTAAAAATCCCGGCAATTAAAATTTTTGATAAAAATACCACAAACCATACCTAACCCTTATATTAATGATGTGCCATTTATATGATACCTTAGCGTACAGTACGTACAGTGCGCATAGTTGTATAGTGTGTATAAAATACGTAATATACACAATACATGTGGAATTTATAAATAAGTTATATGTAACATTTTGCAAGGAACAATTCTTGTTAGAGTGCGAAAGACAGTTTCATAGTCAAAATTTTGAGATAGGGATACTTTCGTGATTTTCTAGAATATTCTGTACGCGGCACATCTCTACCTTATATAAAGTGACCTAACCCTAAAAGTTAATTAAATTATAAGGAATTTTCTACTTGAAAATTCTGACTGTCGGGATTTTCTGATTCTAAGTAGAATCTTCAGATTTCAAAATAAATATAACTTATGTATTACTGATTGAATATATGAGTGACGCCAAGGGACAAAGGTAAGGCACCTCGGCAATTTAAGTATATTATTGATTAATTATCGAGTTCCGACATTTTATATTAACGTTTGTTATAAAAATTGAAGTCCGAACTGCATCGTAGCTGAACTCGATAATTAATCAGCAATATACTTAAATTTCCGAGGTCCCTTGTCACTCATATGATTGATAGACTATTTAGAATCTCCGAAATTTCCCACTATAGCGATTAAAAGTGATTGTCATAGAATTGATTTACAGCCCTATTTTACTATTTTTAATCAAAAATTTAACGTAAACCTACACAATAAATAGTATCCATAAAATTTTATAAAAAAGCAATAACCTTTTTAACCTTTATTTCTGTATCGACTTTGTTGGCTGCACTTTTCACTGTTTACATTATTCTCATTCCAGAAAAGTGCTAATGAATTTTCAAGCTGTAGAAACACTACTTTTAATGTAAAAATGTCACCAGATCCTATGATTTCTGGAAATAACGTAGTTACTGATTTTGGAAATAATTGATTTGGGGTCCCTTAAAGCCGAGCAGATTACGTAATAATTAGCCAATCGGATCGTCAAAATTTGATAAACTGGATCAGCCTGACGAAGCAAAACAAGCGAAAAAGAGAAAAAAGCGAAAAACAAAAAAAAAAGGTAGTCTAAACTCATCTTGATGCATTAACAAAAAATGTCGGAAAGGCAATTTTGCTTATATAAGCCCATCTACACCTAATCCAAAGTGGCCCTAACCTAATGTTGATGAAAAACAGGACAGCACGTGATCTGCCGGACTTTAAGGACCCTGGACTTGATGAATTCATAAGTCAATCATTTCCTCTTTCTCCAAATACTGTATTAAAACTGATGAACAATTGATATAAGTGTGTGTTAATGCCAGTACCATTCTCAAGATTGCCAATAGCATATTATATAGTTATTTGATAGTCCCGATCATAGTAGGGTATCGGATAAAACATATTTATTAATATTAAGCAACACAATGAGCTGGTTTTATTATTGCCTATGCATCGGCTACAGTTTTTCGAACATTCTCAAAGAAAAACCCATAGTGGTATTTATTTTTTTTTTAGATACTCTTTTTATGTATTTTCTCTTTTGTTTATTTTTATCAAATTGTTCTTCTGCTCTAAAGGGTGGATTAAAACGGTTCGAATAAGCTATGTAGTTCGCGAGTTAAGTTTAAAATTACTGTTGTAATTACTATTGTATACTTTATTAATAAAATGGCTTCCAATAGATTTGAAATGATTGACAAAAATCCGAATGATGATTAACAAAAATTCTGATATTGTCAGAAATTTCTTAAATAGTAAAAAAATTTACTACATCCGTACTATGCTTGTGTTTAATATGCTTTTAGTGTTAGCGAAGATGAATATGGACGTTTTTTTGATGCTTTTCTAATGAAAGAGATTTCTTAAACATTGCTTTCATTAATAAATCATTATTTTAAATATTCACTTGTAAATTCTAAAGATACTAAAGGAATCTTGAGTTTAATTCCGATTCCAAGTGCTGCCCGAATCTCAATGCACACAAGTTTACTAATGGGTCATCATATTCCCGACTAAGTTAACACTGGGTCACACATCCAGACCTGGGTGTCACCCACCCAGATTTAATAATAATACAGTACACTCTCCTGACATTGATCACTGGAATTTTCACGTCACCTAATGATGATCGTATCCACATATGTAACTTATTTTTTTAATAAGGAAATTGAACTTGTAGTAAAAAAATTTTTATAGGTCTACGCATTTTTAAACCCAATTCTAAATAATAGTTAGTTTTAAAATATGGTATTCTCTGTATCTAAAAGTATTTAGCAATTCAAAACATTTTCTCATAAATTATTAAGTTTAATTAAGAATGTTGATAAATAAAAACTGAAATTTTCATATATTAAAATTTGTATAAGAATAACTTAAAAAATTAACCATATATGCATTTTATTTTGGGAGATTTTTAATAAAAATTTTATAACATTTAATTATGTCAAATTTTAAAATACTAAAATTGCAATTTTTAATTTACCAAAATTCTTAATTAAACTTTATAATTTATTCTATGAAAATTTAATCCTATATACATTTATGTACGGAGAATACCATATTTTAAAATCAACTATTATTTATAAATTGAGTTTAAAAATGCTTGGACCTAATAATTTTTTTTATTTTTCATTTTTTTAATCAAAAATGCTAAATCCGACTTAATAAACTTTATTTAAACTTCCTAAAAATTATAGAATATATGTAAATCGTTATTCTGAACAACTTTACTTACTACGTACGCCAAGTTCAATTTCCTTATTAAAGAATAAGCTACATATGTTGCTACGATCATCATTAGGTGATCAATGTCAGGGGAGTGTACAAATACTTTTAATATACATCACGAAACGTATGCTACCCCTTGTGTAGAGCTCTTTTTATTTATATTAAGTCTCTAAAAAAAATGTGCAACAGTAAATATTCTGTTACATAATTTTCCGTGCAGAAATCAGATTTAGTATGGATCTACTAAAATTAAGAATTTACTCAAATATGGTTCAATTTGAAAACAATAGCTACAATGAATATTTATTGTAATGTAATGGCTATTCAAATATCCATATTTAGTAAAGCATTGACTCCGGATGAAAATGATAATGATAATCGACCGATGCTATTGACTTATACGGAATTAGAACGGAAATTTAATATCCCGCATCTAAGGGGGTACGAATTTTTTTTTTAGTTCAGCCATTTTATTCGTAATAATAAATATGTAATTTCGAAACAAAAATTTCATATTAATCTATAGAAGCTTTTTTTGCAAGTTGCACTATCGTACTACTGTATAATGTCTTCAATTATAAGATGACAAATATTAATAAAATTATTAGTAGTTTTCATTTATATACCTACTGAAATTCTGCAATGCAGGACAATAGGTCATTTCTTATTTACGGGAGTAATACAAATCCGAAAAAGGGAAAGTCATGTCAGAGTTTAGAAATATTATAAAATTATTGGCTCGTTCCTTTTTGGAATTCTTGTATTGCTTGTAAAGTGACTAACTAATTTTGATTGTTTTATATAGACCAACGGAATTACAGGTAAAAATTGAAAATCAAGGTAAAAAAAAAAAAAAGTAATCTAGTCATTATTCATCGTACATTATTAGTCGTACAAGACTCGTAATTGTGATTCCGATATTATATAGCCGTTTTTTTTAGTATATGTACATATCAAATATTTTGTTCATTGTTGTATTTATATTTACTGGTTACATGATTATACTTCCAATTCTGTATTAGTTTTTTCTTGCAAATGCAGGGGTATCTAGAACGAGCATTTCGTATTGTCTCTATAATATTGTGAGGTATATGAAAAATCTTGCCAATTTGATATAAATTCTATAAAATTCAAGATGCATTTAACCAACTAGTTGAATGTTTCAAAAGTATGGTCAAATTAAACTCAAATTTGATATGTTTGATTAGCCATTATAAAAAATTGCATAAATATTTAATCATGGATTATTAACGATTGTTAATTCATCTATTATTCAGATTTCTATGTGTGAACATTCTTTTACGAATCTTTGTTTAATTATTTATTAAAAAGAAGAAAAAAAAAGAGAAATATTGATTATTTAAAATTAAATTTATGTAATCATTAATAAGCTGAACTAAAAAAAAAATTCGTACCCCCTTAGATGCGGGATATTAAATTTCCGT